TTTTTCCACCAAAATTAAAAAAAAAAAAGAAATTCATCTCTTCTTCTTGCAAAGATAATATGAACATTTTAAAACCAGATGAGGAATAGCAGACGACTTCACTGTTCATTTCAGGAAGCATTTGATGCTCAGAATCAACATTTTGAAATATGTTCAAAGCTGCCATCTTGTGGTAATATTCTATTCAACTTTTAGCAGATGTATTGATACAAGCCTCCCTAAATCTGAAGACTAGAAGGAAAGAACATTGCAGAAATGCATTTTAGGACATAACCGAAGCCTGCTTTTTGAAACCTACAAAAAAAGAATGCAAGAGTGCATTTCCATGTATAGTCTACTTAATCAATTAGTAATTGATCTTACTCATTTTACTAACAGCTTCTGTTCAAAATCCATAACAGATTTTATTCATTGTCCTTTCTTTCCGTCTTTTCAAAATTAAAAGTCTAATAATTCCTATTTTTGTTAAAATTTTTTAATTGATTTCAGAGAGGAAGGGAGAGGAAAAGAGAGATAGTAACAACAGTGATGAGAGAGAATCATTGACCAGCTTCCTCTCGCATGCCCTACACTGGATTGCACAACACGGGCATATGCCCTTATTGGGAATCCAACCATAACCTCCTGGTTCTTAGGTAGACACTCAACCACTGAGCCATGTTGGCTGAGCTAAAGGTTCCTGTTTTATAGCAGAAAAATTTAAGAATAAGCTTCTGCTTAGTGATCTACATTCTGAAATTAATCATTCTTTACTGATATTTTCAGAAGAGTCACTCTCTTCTTTAAAACTTCCTTCCTCAAAGCCACAGTTCATGAATAACTGTAGGGATCCTCTGCCCCACTCCTCTCCACACACGAATCATAGTTCCAGATACAATCATTTTCAGCTCTTCAAGTTGATTCTAATTTTGCCTCTTTATTTCTAAATTGTATATTTCAACTTCTATTTCTTATCTTCAAAAATCAGAAGTAGCATCTTTTAACATTCTTTTGTGGATGATGAGGACTTGGCTTTTATCATATCCCTTTTTATCAACTTTTCCAGCAGTTTACCTATCCTTCCAGGTTTCAACTTAATTTTCCATTCTTCAGCTAATCTTCTCTAGTCACCCATCTAAATTAGATACCTTCTGTCATATTTAAGGGGAGAGCATGCTGTGTTTCTTTCATACCACTGTAATTATCACATATCTTGATGGCTTGTTCATTTGTTGTGGTAGTCTTCAAGTTAATCCCAAATTAATTCTTTTCTATTCCTTACTATTAAATTTTGATTTTATTCAGATTAGTATAGAGGGCCCCCTGGGAATACACATGGATGACCTTTAAATTAATGTCAGATGAACTCGAGAGGTAGGCAGAGCCACGCCCTGGGAACATGTTTCCCCAAAATGTGGGAGACTGTTATCAGTACTGATTTCTTTTCTTTATCCATGTGCTTGTAATGAGGAATGAATTGGATCTTGACTTACCGAGGTCTTTATATGCTAAATCCCAGGAGTGAGGGAATTAATAGGACCTGGGCACACCCAAAACTTCTTTGACCTTAAACCCCCCTTTGGAAATAAATAAATGCTGCTGTGTTGTCTGTGGTGGGTGGGACTGTCTCTCCATCAGAGTGACAGCCCCCGACCTGGGTCCCAGCTTGAATCTATTTCTGTGTCTTGGTCTCTTTTTTCCCCCCTTTAATTTCTTAATCCCCAGCTCCTCCACTCAGGAACCTGCCGTTTTCCGTGTGGGTCATAGAATACAGAGAAACAGCCCCCTAGAGATTAGTATCCAGCGATGACGACAACAACAACAACAACAAACAACTCTTCAGTTTTTAATATTCATTTGCCTTGTGATAAACTTCTAATGAGATACAGGCAGAATTCTTTGGAGGATATGTATTTCTGAATAAAAGGAAATTTTCTGCCCGGCGTAGATATATTGTAACTCTGGAGGTGCTGTGACCATCTTTACATCTCTGACAGCATAAATAAGAGGAGTGGTGATGGAGAAAAGGTAGAAGGAGACTGAGTCCTCGAAGGCATCATTGTGCTGCCATACCTACCTTGGACCCTCTCCCTTTCAAACTGTCTCATTTTTGAGAAAATAATGCAACTTCAGTAATCAATTTTGGTATTTTCATTCACTCTCTTTTGCTATGAAGCTCTGTGAGGCCAGGAGCACTATGAAACTTGTTCATCCTTGTAGCATTGCATCAGGTATTCTTTTTTTTTTTCTTTTCTTTTTAAAAAAATATATTTTATTGATTTTGTACAGAGAGGAAGGGAGAGGGATAGAGAGCTAGAAACATCAATGAGAGAGAAACATCGATCAGCTGCCTCTTGCACACCCCCTACTGGGGATATGCCCGCAACCAAGGTACATGCCCTTGACCAGAATTGAACCCGGGTCCCTTCAGTCCCCAAGCCGACACTCTGTCCATTGAGCCAAACTGGTTTTGGCTGCATCAGGTATTCTTAACCTCAGCATTATTGACATTTAGGTTGGATATTTTTATTTTTATTTTTATTTTTATTTTTATTTTTATTTTTATGAGAGGTGGGCTGTTTAGTCCATTGTAAGATCTTTAGCAGCAACCCTGGTCTCTGCCCAGTAGATGCCAGTAGCAACCCCACCTTCAAGATTCTCCTGGAGATAAATTGTCCTCCAGTTGAGGATCATGACCTTTGTCGCTGGGGTTCAGTGCTCAGGATACAGGGGTCAATAGATGTTGACTATATTAACAAAGTTATTAATTAGTTGAATGTGAGGACTGGAAGGGATGGTAGAAGTCAAGGTGACTTTCAAGTTTCTCTCTTGGGCTAGTAATTGTAACATTGTATCATTTAAAAGATGAGGCACATTCCAGTTTATCAGTGTTCCCCTTAAACTGTGGCCTTAGCATTGAATGAATGCTCCATCTGTGAGTCAAACTCTACAATTTTTTGTTTCTGTATTAATGAAAATCATTATATTAGCTCCTGCATAGTTCTCCCCATCCCCTTATTTGATTGCTTAGCATCTTCCCTCATTATTGGTGTCATTGAACTATTGGCTTATATTGAACTTGAAATCCACTAAAATCTCCTGGCTGTTTTGTAAAGAATCCTGCTAATTCTTGCTTTCCTTTTCCTTTTAATTTTGCAGTTGTGATTTGGATGGGGCCAGTTTCTGACTTTTTTTTCTTCTTTTAAACTTAATCTATTTCATATCAGGTTCTGTGGGTTTTTTGTTTGTGTGTGTGTGTGTGTGTGTGTGTGTGTGTGTGTGTGTGTGTTGTTGTTAATATATTTAATTTTTTTTGTTTGTTTCACATTAGATCTGTCAGCTGGATTTCTCATTGATTGGTTGGTTTAATAAAAGCTTTGACTTGTAAATGGCAAAGACCAAATACTTGATATTATTGGATATTCAAGGAGTTATCTCTGAACAAATATCTCATAACTAAATATTGGAACACTTATTTTAATAACCCAAAGCTGCTTCTTCCCTGCATTAAATTTTAAAGATCACGGGGAGCTGTAAATGAGCACTATCTCGAAAATCTGCTTCTAGGAATGAAGACAGAATATGACTTCAGAGGACAGTACAGGCAGGTGCGGTCAAGCATTTTTACTCCTCTGTTAGACTATAAGCTTAGCTAAGTTGGTGGCATTGGCATGCAGTGGGTGCTTATGCAATAGGAAAGAATGGGTTTATGTGGTGTGGAATGTGTTTTCCAATGAACACTTAATATTAACAATTTTATTTACTATCTAAATATATAAATGTCTAATGTGTAAAGTGCCGCCTCGGGAGTTTGGGAGACAGGGAGTTTGATCACCCTATGATGTGTGCTGACCACCAGGGGACAGTGCTGAAAGAAGGGAGGCTCCTGCTGGCAGCCAGAAGGCCCCAGACGGCCCTGATAACCAGCCAGGCCAAGGACCCTACCTGTACACAAATTTCATGCACTGGGTCTTTAATGTTTTATAAGAGAACTGGAAGACTGAGAACAGTGGGAAATATCCAAGATCACAAGTGAGTATTATTTGCAATGAATAACGTAGAATATTATAGAAAAAGTAATGGTCACCTGATCAAGATCATACAGAACTATAAAATAAATTTAAAAAAAAAGCCTTGAATGAAAGAAAAATAAAGCAACACAGTTATGGATAAATTATCAAAACTATATTTATAAGATAATAGGTAAAGCTTTCTCTTATACTTAGAATTTATTAGAATTTCTGATTATGTTTTCACACCAGTCATCTTTCTCTCATGACTTATTCAGTATTAACTAGTCTCTTCATCTCTACTCTTACCATTAACCAACATTATTTGCAGATATCACCACCAGCATCATCTTTATTGTACACACTTTAATCATGACTCTCCCCTATTCCCTCTTACCTATAGAATAAATTCTAAATTTCTTAGGATTGCATATAAGACACTGATTTTATTCCTAATTTCAATTTCTACTCTTCCTCTGTAAAAACTGTGCTCTAAGCACACTGACCTACTTTATATTTTTAAATCTTTCATGCTTTTTCGAACTTCTCTGACTTTGCTAATGCTGCCACTCTTGCATGGAAAGCCCTTCTCAAACCTTGTATTTGGTAAATCCATTGGCATTCTTTGAGGCCCACGTCATACGTGACCTTTTCTATTTTACTTTTCTGACCATTTTGAAGAAGTTAGAGTCCCATTTATAATTCCACATATATTACTTTAACTAATAAATGTGGCTACCTTTACATCTGTTGGTCAGTGTCAATGAATGGAAATATATTTATATCTTAATATTGTCTAAATGCTTACTTATGTATTTTAATCAGGAATTTTCTATCAATCATGATTTTTCTTTATGATTTTTAAACAAAGCAAAAGTAGCTTATTTACATTGTCATTCAAGTGACCTTTAAAACATGCCAAAAAATCTTGACATTTTCTGCTTCAACACCACAGAGCGGGTGCAACCTACTGTTTAAAATAAAAAGGAAAGTGTTGTGACTCTTCCCAGCTCTGGAAAGTGATTTCTGGAGCTTTAATTTCAACTTGTGCAGGCATAGGAAGAAGGGAACAGAATGATTGGAAATACAGCTAGCAACTCAATCTATTATTGTTCAGCCAGGGCTTTTGTAATACTATTGTGTAAGACAATTGGTCTTTTATAGTTAGACCATGGATTGATTAGGATTCGGGATTTTTTCATATTCTTCAGCATAGTGTCGATACTGGTCAGTGAGGAGAGGCTGACTGGCTTCATCCATCTTGTTTCTGGCACGGATCAGACAAGAAGCGCCCACAAAAATGACTGCAACCAGCAATAAAGCAGCAACCACTGCTATGGTAATAATCTCAGAAATTTGAAAACTCCGACCTATTTGAAAAATAAAACAAGAACAAACAAAAAAACAAATAAATAAATAAATCTGCTAATAGTTGCCATCAAAAAATGGATTCTAAATTTAGGCACTTTACTAAAATCCTCATACTTAATTTTTATTGGCTACACTGTCTAGATTAGAATAACATTTGTCATCTTGGAGGCACTTTCTAATTTCTCATAATGAGTAGATTCCATTAGGGTAGTTATTTTAATTCTAAACATGAGGAAATAATGTCACTTGCCCAAGGTCATTTGATTAGTAGATAATAGAATTGGTTTTGGAGTACAGGTGTTTCAGAACCCAAACCCTGTGCTCTTCTGCAGTATCCTGCTGCCTTCCTTAAAAAAATAAATTTAAATTTATTTTTAAAATATATTTTATTGATTTTTTTATTTTTTTATTTTTTACAGAGAGGAAGGTAGAAGGAGAGGGATAGAGAGTTAGAAACACCGATTCAGTTGCCTCCTGCACACTCCCTACTGAGGATGTGCCCGCAGTCAAGGTACATGCCTCAACCAGAATCGAACCTGGGACTTTTTGGTCCACAGGCTAATGCTCTATCACTAAGCCAAACTGATCAGGGCTAAATTTAAATGTAAACAAGAAAGTTTTGCATTTCAAAATCTCAGGACAGCTCGGAGTACCTCATGCTGTTAAAAATTTTTTTGAGGATAGATAAACAGTGGCACATTATGTTGTAGAAAAATTAGGGGGCTAAGCTCAAAACTCAGTTTCTCTGCTTACTAAGCATGTGACCTTTGACAGTTACCCTCACTAAACCTTGTCGTCAGTATTTGTAAAATCAGGATTATGACCCTGTCATGGAGGGGTGTAAGGGTTAAATGAGATAGTGTACTATACTATAATCAGTGCAATACCAGGTCAGAGTGGGCTGGCAACAAGTGTTAAGTTCACTCGCTTTATCATCAAAGGAAAACCTAAATGAACGTTTCTAAATGCAAGTGGGAAATTTCAGCCTCAAGAATACTGTGATTGCCGAAACCGGTTTGGCTCAGTGGATAGAGCATTGGCCTGCAGACTGAAAGGTCCCAGGGTTGATTCCAGGTCAAGGGCATGTACCTTGGTTGCGGGCACATCCCCAGTAGGGGATGTACAAGAGGCAGCTGTTCGATGTTACACTCTCCTCGATGTTTCTAGCTCTCTATCCCTCTCCCTTCCTCTCTGTAAAAAAAAATAAAAAAAAATCAATAAAAATATTTAAAAAATAAATATAAAAAAAAGGAACACTGTGATTGGTTTACTTTTAAAGGAAACATAATGCTTTTGAAACTTTCCACAGTAAAAATACATTTTTAATACTCACCAGGCCATTGAACTTCATAGGTGTATCCCAGGTTGTCTGGAGCAGTAACAAACATTTCAGTGTTGGTAATTGGAGGCCAGAATGGCACCATATTGTATTGTCTATTATGTCCAATAGGGGCATTCTCCAATGGAAATGTGGATATGTCTAAAATATGCCAAAAATACCTTATTAATATTAGTATATAGTTATATTCTGAAGATGACCTGAAATATTCAAGCATAACATTAAAAACATTCTTTCATATTTTACAATGAATGAAGACATAAGTTTTACTACAGCAGAACAGGGACTTGCATAAAGCAGATTTCAAACGCCTTGCGTATAGCACTAATTAATGTATTATCCCATAGAAAAAGCAAGTTCAAAAACTGGCGTGTTTCAGTATTTTGTCATTTTTGATGCTCATTAATTGTTTTACTTTTAAATTACAGAAACAGATTTTAATAAAATTAAGTTTATTTTTTCAAAGGTAAAGAAAAGATGGGTCTATAGTTTGCTGTAACATCTATGATTTAAATTTGATAGTTTCTAATGGAGGTTTCTTCTTGACTGCAAATGTTTCTATTTGGTATATTTTCTTTTTTTCTGTTTACTTTTAGAGAAATAAATATTAACTTGTTCCTCAGGTTTTACTCTGTTAACAAAAAACTCTTAAAAATTTTGAATCACCATCTTGGAATCTTACTTGCTTCCTGCTACCTCTCCTCTTTCTATAGTAGTTTCCCCTGACCCATGGTTTTGTCAACCATGGTACAGTTATCCACAGTCAACTGTGGTCTGAAAATATTACATAGAAAATTTTAGAAATAAAAAGTTATAAGTTTTAAATGGTGCAGTTCTGAGTAGCGTGATGAAATCTTTACCCTCCTGCTCTGTCCTGCCCACGAAGTGCATTATCCCTTTGCCCAGCATATGCACTCAGTATATGCCACCAGCTCGTTAGTCACTTAGTAGCTTCTCAATTATCCCATCAGTGTTGTGCTATTGCAGTGCTTGTGTTCAGGTAACTGCCCCAAAGCCATTCATATAACTTATTAAAATACTAGAGGCCCGGTGCATGAATTTGTGCATGGGTGAAATCTGATTGGGGCCAGGTTGGCGGGGGGTGGGGGGATCCAGGAGGTTGGTCAGCCAGCCCTGCTCTTGATCAGGGTGAGAGTCTGGCTGGGGGAGGGGCTGCAGGCAGTTGGCCTGTGGGTCCCCCCTGATCCGAGTGTGGAGGGGCAATCAGGGGCCAGGCTAGTGGGGGAGAGGGGCTGTAAGAGGTTGGGGGGGCAATGGGGTCCCTGATTGGGCCAGTTTGCTGCCGTGGTGGACGTCGTATCGATCAGTTGTTGCAGTTGTTCTGGTGGTTCTGTTGTTTTGGTTGCTTAGCATATATATATATATATAAATTGTTATAATTGTTCTATATTACTGCTAGTTATTATTGTGAATCTATACTGTGTGTAATTTATAAATGAAACTTTACCATAGGTATGTACCTAAAGGAAAAAACAGTGCATGCAGTTCTAGGATTCACTACTATCCACAGTCTCAGGTACCCACTGGAGCTCTCAGAACATTTCCCCTGCAGACAAAGGGGGACTGTTCTAGTTAAATACAAGTTGCAGGTATTTATATCATTGACGAGTTTTTGTCATAAGGGTTAAAAGTACTGAAATGTCCTTTGTGGCAAAAGTTGTGGTTTGTTGTTGTTGTTGTTCTATATGTTGGTACAATTAATTACCAGCTAGAATGTTACAAAGCCAGAGTTGCAAGTGAGCTTGGGCTCTACATGGGTGGAAATACATTAAGAGCTGGGACATGTGAGAAAACTAGTGAAGTGTCCAACTGTGTTTGTAAGAACTATATTATCTGCACAGTCCATGTAGCACAGAAGAGAATTTTAGAATCTAGTTTGAAGAACGATTCTAGAAATGATAGTGTTTATATTTTTGAGGCTTAAGTATTTATCTAGTAACATCTGTTGAGCCCCTGATCTAGGCAAGGGGCTATAGCTTTGAACAGACAAAATTTCTGTCTTCAAGAAAATCACATGTTGGTGTATTGAGGAGAATTATTTTTTCAAGTTAGATATTAAAATTAATAAGTTGGATTTGTAAACTTCCCATTTCACCTTCACTCGATCACCCTTACCCAGGTCAGCTTCAGCTGTGTGATTAAGTTATATCTATTAAAATGAATGAAGAACAATAGTAAAAATAACAAATAACAGCAACTGGATTATAATGTAATCTTTCTATGGCTCTTCATCTATCTTTATTATAGATAATGCCTTATAATCATACATATGTACTTAAATACACATGCAAATGAGGTGGAACACCAATCAGTGAATTCATAGCAGATTGATAAATGAACCAATATTTGTTTGTAAGTTATTCACTTGTTAAATAATTTTCTGATGGATAGTAAAACTCATAAAAATATTTAACCTGTTAAGTCAACAGCAGTGATTATTCTGAGCAACAATTTTTCCTAAGCTTGCCAGGACAGTTTTTCCCTTAATATAATCGAATTGTTTCTCTGCACCTATGGTTAGCAATATCTGTTTGCTATATCCGTAATTAGGTTGGCTTTAAGCTAATGGCATGACATTCTAAATGTAGCCTTCAGGTTAAAAATAATGGAACATACTATTTGACCAACTCATCAATTAATGGTCTTAATCAGGTTAATTTAAGAACTTCTGTACACACACAACCACATACAAGAAAATAAGGGATTGGCTGAATTGAGTGGATAAATGAATAGGTATTTAATCTCAAATATTATGTTTATATGCATGATGAGATAAAGGCACAGAAGTCAACATTTAGAACACTTTTAAAATATAAAAATTTACAATGTTTTAACCAGAGGAACAACATTGAAAAGTAATGTGAAAAAATTAAAAGTAATATAAATCTCTCAGCTGAGTAGAAATTAAGAGAAAGTGACCTTGTAAATAAGATTAAATATGTTAAAATGAACTTAAAAAGAGATTTTTCTATGGTGTGATATAAAAACCAACATCATCTTTTCAAGTTGAGCAAAATTTCCATTTGTGAGAGTGAATAAAGTAATAAAATCAAAACTATGGATTATGAGTGTAATAATTTTTCTCTTTTGGAGTATCAAAGAAGAGCTCTGTAAGAATTTCCCATCTATATTAAAAAGCAATAAGAATGTTCATTGAAAGATATGAGGTAGAAAAATTTGGGAAACAGTAAAAATGAGAAGGGATTAACTGCTTAGTTCTATTGAATGCTAGTAAATATCTTCTTACTATAGCCATTCTGAGAGACTTCTTGTCTGCCTTGTCAAAGTGGTTGGAGTATTTGGAAATGGCAAGATAATAGAGCTATTTTTGCCTTATGTTGAAATGTAGTTTATGTGTGTCAAGTGCTTAGCCTGAAGTGATAATTTTGCCATCCGAACAATCTTTTTTTTTGCTGAGCCTGCGAAAAGCATATAAAAATGTCTCACCAGCATTATATCTCCTCAGCCATTCATCAAAGATTGCGTCAGTGAAAGTATGCAGGAGGACAAAAATAGGATCATTTGGAGATAAATGGGTTTGTCCCCCTGTTCCATTCAGGAATAGATGAGCCAAATTGTGAAGGCTTCGAACAGCAGGATCGTACCTTCCCGTGGGATCACTGTAACCTAGATATAAAAATAGAATGAGAATAGTAAAAATCATTACAAATATTCTACTTGTCAAGTCAACAGCAGTGATTATCCTGAGCAACAGTTTTTCTAAGCTTACCAGGACATTGCTTAACATAATGGCATTATTTCTCTCTACCTTCGGTTAGCGACCTTTGTTTGCTATACTTAGAACTAGGTTGGTTATGAACTAGTGGCATGGCATTCTCAATGTAGCCTCCAGGTTAAAGATAATGACCTGCAAAGGATACCAATCAAAATACACAGAATACTCTATTTCCACAAGGCAAACATCACTCTATATAACAGTGGAAATGTCTAGCTTCTACTGAAAACTGCTGATTGGGAGACCACTCTGATTGTCCTGGAACTTAAATAGCCAGATGTTACTTTAGTTTCCTATATTATTCCCTTTTAATGACTGTCAGCATATTTATTTTTGGAAACTTACTGTGGTGGAGAAGTTACAATTTCTTAGGGCTTTCTTAACACCTCTGTATTAGATTTAAACATCTGGAGGACCTACCCTCAAAACATTTATAGAACTTTCGATAATGATGTCTATTCCATATACATATTTCTACATATATCTCCATTTTATATATAATAAACATATATTTTATCTACATATATAAAAGCCTAAATGTCTAATGTTCGGCAATTTGTTCAGCCAGTAGCTATGATGTGAACTAACCACCAGGGGAAGATGCTCAATGCAAAAGCATGGAAACATGGAACAGACTGATGAATCTCAGAGGGAAAGGGGCCGTGGGCGGGAAGAGATTAACTAAAGATCTTATATGCATACTAGAGGCTTGGTGTGCAGATTTGTGCACCAGTGGGGTCCCTCAGCCTGGCCTGTGGAGATGGGGCCGAAACTGGCCCGGTGCAAAGATTCATTCACTGTGGGGTCCCTCGGCCTGGCCTGTAAGAATCAGACTGAAACCAGCTGCCTGACATCCCCCGAGGGGTCCTGGATTGCAAGAGGGCACAGTCCAGGGTGAAGAACCCCACTGGTGCACGAATTCCATTTTCCAATGATCTACAGCATTATCTTAGGCTCTGCATCTGTTTTCCGATTATCTTAGGTTCTTCAGCAGCAGTTCTCAACCTGTGGGTCATGACAATGTGGAGCATTGTGTTATACACCAAAAGGGAAAAAGGTGTGGGTTTGATTTCTGGGTCAGGGCACATACCTAAGTTGCAGGTCCCTGGTTGGGGTGTATATGGGAGGCAGCTGATTAATGTTTCTCACTCACATCGATGTTTTTTCCTCTCTCTCTCTCTTCCCCTTCCTCTCTCTCTAAAACCAATAAAAATATATCCTCGGGTGAGAGTTTAGATAAAAGGGACTTTTGTGGTCTGACACTTTTATTTGAGGAAGTGCTTTTGTGAGCAGAAAATTATAACTATATCATATTGGCAGCACCATTCAGATAAACTAATTGGATCAATGTGGCATTTAAATTTTTTTTCAAAGAGATCTGAATGTGAGTACTTCAGTTTACTGTGATAACTAAATCAATTCAAAACACTAATTTTGTTTACTTGCCTTCCACTGTGTTTCGGAAACTGTTTGTAGAGTTGGAATAGAACGGAGGTGTGTCAAATAATCCAACTTCTAAGCACTGAGCCACATCCTGTGGTTCAGGAAGCCTCTGCACCATTGGTCTGGCCACGTTTCCGGCTGGATTCCTCCTAATTGGCGCCCCCTCAGTGCCTGGGAAGAAGATGGGGGATGCAAACATTTAGAGAATGGTTAGAGATCTTGTTATTGCCCTTCAACATTTTATATACAGCATGGACCCTGAATAATAGGTTCTTCTTGGTAGAGGAGATACATTTTTAAAATGCTTTTCAGTGGCATTAAAGTGAGAAAATCTAAGTTATGTCAACTTCTCTAAGAAGAGTAAATAAGTGACACATAAAATCATCCGAAAGAAAGAAGTGATCACAATAACAGACAGAGGTCCCAGTGTTTGTTAAATCAACATATGCTTCTTTCCTGAGAATATATTAAAATAAACATTCCATGAAAAATTGAATTTTGTCCAAATAATCTCATAAACTTGAATTGTACACTGAAATCCATATTTCATGTATATAGATATATGGAGTTTGGCACTTGAATGCTGTCTGTTTCAGCCCTCAGAGAAAGAAAGAAAAACAATCCTCAATTTCAATGAACACATTTTTTAGGAAGTTATGTCAGAAATAATTAAAGTCTTTTGAAGGGCAGTAAGACTAACAACTGAGCGAAGAGCTGTGATACTAGGGATCATATGATAGATGCCTCTTAAGGGAGGGTAGGAAATATCTTTCCCAGTTGGGTGGATCCTAGCACTGCTGAGGAGGCGGGACAGGCTCCTGCCACCTCCCTTGCATTCGCAGCCACCATCCCAGCTTGTGGTTGAGTGGAACTCCCACTGTGGGAGCGCACTGACCTCCAGTGTAGAGCATCTGCCCTCTTTTGGTCAGTGTCCACCATAGCTACTGGTCATTCCCGGTCATTCCACCATAGAGTCAATTTGCATATTACCCTTTTATTATATAGGATAAGTCCCATTGGAGCAAGAATTCTGTTCTTGCTCACTAATATGGGCCCCAGTTTTGGTATAGTGCCTGGCATTAATAGTTGCTAAAATAGTGGTTTGGTACATGTTATTATATGAGATTTAATCACGTTGGCCTGTTTGTGAGCTCACCTGTCTGGGCTACATGGCAATGTAAGAGATTATTGAATGGTGGGAAATATGAGAAGTTAGATAAGAACCATAATGTGAAGAAATCAAACAGCAAGATGATAAAGTTATGTTTAATTCATGAAGTGGGAGAGGCCTTATTGGGGGTGGGAGGAGAAGAGTTTGATTAGGAGCATTTTTTGTTAGTCTGCCTCAGTGGTCTCCAGAGAAGAGTACTCATGCGTTAGAGGAGACACAGAGAATAACTTACTGGGTGAGAGAGAGAATATTTCAACATGTACTCATTTTCACTGTACCTCATTCATAGAAATCCTAATTGTATGCTTTATAATTAACATAATAATTAGCATAAACAGCTTTATCCTATATAATAAAGAGGAAATATGCAAATTGATCATCACTCCAACACACAAGATGGCCACCCCATGTGGACACAATTTGGCCATGACAAGATGGCTACCACAAGATGGCTTCCTGCAGGTTGATTAGGTTGATTAGGTCAGCAGAAGAGGGCTGTAGGGAGAGCTTGGTCTGCAAGAAAGGGAAGCTGGGGGCAATCAGGCTTGCAAGAAAGGGCAGTTAGGGGTGACCAGGCTGTCAGGGGAGGACAGTTGGGGTGGACCCAGGCATTTAGGAGAGGGAAATTGGGAAGGTACCAGGCCTACAGGGGCAGGCAGTTGGGGAGGACCAGGCCTGCAGGGAAGGGCAGTGGGGGGGGGGGGCAGGGCTTCAGGGGAGGGCAGTTGGGGGTTACCAAGCTGGCAGGGGAGGGCAGTTAGGCATTGATCAGGCTGGCAGGGGAGTGGTTAGGGGGTGATCAGGCTGGTAGGTAGAAGCAGTTATGGGCAATCAGGCAGGCAGGCAGGTGAGCAGTTGAGAGCCAGCAGTCCTAGATTATGAGATTGGACCTAAATGAGCCACTGGGATCAGGCCTAAACAGGCAGTCGGAATCCCTTGAGGGATCCCAGATTAGAGAGAGTGCAGGCTAGGGTGAGGGACAACCCCCCTCCTTGTGCACAAATTTCATGCACCAGGCCTCTAGTATAATATAAAAATAAATTTATATAATATAAAAATAAAACATGACTATATTGAGACTGGAAAGTGCATATGTATGTTTTAGGTATACATTATTATAAAAACTTTCAGACTATACTAGCTAACCCATCAATTTAAGCTAATATTTTGGAGTTTACTATTCAGGGAGCTGTCACTACATCCCAAGGAAAAAAGTATTGGTTACATGGGTTTCAAAAACACTATATTCAAATGTGCTCTCATGAAGCTTCGTAGTGCAGGATTTTGATAGTGAAGAAACTAGTTAAACCAATTTAATTTTAATCTAGTGACTTTAAAATTTGTTTATACATGTACAACCTCTGCTATTGCATCTATTTTTATTTTTAAATTAAAAAATTTAATGACAGTTGACAATATATTAGTTTCAGGTGCGCAACATAGTGGTTAGACATTTATATAACTTACCAGAAGCCCAGTGCACAAAATTCATGCACTGGGGGGGTTGTCCTTCAGCTCAGTCTGCACCCTCTCCAATCTGGGACCCCTCAGGGGATGTTCTAGTGCTGGTTTATGCCTGATCCCACAGGCAGTCAGACATCCCTCTCACAATCTGAGACTGCTGGCTCCTAACCGCTCAACTGCCTGCCTGCCTGCCTGCCTGCCTGCCTGATTGTCCCTAACTGCTTCTGCCTACCAGAATGATCACCCCATAACCATTCCCCTGCCAGCCTGATTGACGCCTAACTGCTCCTTTGCCAGTCCAATTGCCCCCAACTGCCCTCCCCTGCCAGCTTGGTTGCCCATAACTGCCCTCCCCTACAGGCCTGGTCCCCCCCAGCTGTCCTCCCTCCCCTGCAGACCCAGTCACTCCCCAGCTGCCTTCCTCTGCAGGCCTGGTCCCCCCCAACTGTTCTCCCTCTCCTGCCATCTCCTCTGTGCTTACCAGCTGTGAGCCCAGCTTCTGGCTGAGCGGCACTCCCCCTGTGGAAGCCCACTGATCACCAGGGGGCAGCTCCTACATTAAGCATCTCCCCCTGGTGGTCAGTATGCTTCATAGCAACCAGTCTTTCTGTGGTTTGGTCGATTTGCATATTAGCATTTTATTACATAGGATAGCCAGACATGCCTAAAGAGGAAAAATAAGGAGGGATAAAGAGACTCTAATAATGAAGACCTTGTATTTGCAGCACAAGGACATATAATAAGATCCAAGGAAGAGAATAGAAAGCTCAGTTGCAGAGCCACACATGACAGAAATGACCTGTGGCAGAGCTGGTGTTCAGATCCCTGGAACAAGAATGCTAAGACAGCTGGTTAAGCATCCTTTATATCATCTTTTTATTTTAACCCTCTAACTAGATTAACATTATATATATATATATATATATATATATATATATATATATGTGTGTGTGTGTGTGTGTGTGTGTGTGTGTGTGTATTATGTTAATTATTGTTGTTGTTGTTGTTATTATTATTTACTTCCAAGTCTTTCTGTGTATTTCAGGTTTCCTAGGGAACATTTTCTATGAAATTCCAACACAAGACACATGATCAGCAAGCAGTGCTGAGTGCACTAAGAGGATTAAGTTATACAATTAGACCTTTCCAAAATAAGAAAGTGAGCAATGCACTTACCAGATTGCTCAAGAAAAGAATGTAATAATGTACAGACACACTCTGTTCCCCTTGCTGCACCTTATAGATTGTCTTGAGTGTCTTAGTTGTTTCATGAATTGATTTCATTACATCAATTCTCTGCAATAATAGATTTTAGTCTGACATCCTCAATAAAACGAATGGCCTTCAGGCAGCACATTTAATCCCTCTCCCTAAGGGGAATTCTGAATCCTAGATATCATTTGGAACTTACTGTTACACAGGGTTCCTAGGGTATCATAATCTTCCAGGGATTCGCACACCACTCGCCATTGAGAAAAGACAGAGTTCGGGCTTATAAGGTTGGGATCAAAGTTGCTTCTGGAGCCCATCATGTCATCGGTGCAGATGTCACAGACGTTCCTCCCGGTTGCAAAATTCCAGTAAGGAAGGGAGAAGGAAGGATTCTGCAACATTTCCTAGATCACAGAAACTCAGTTAGCATTCTCTGGCTTTTGCTTAAAATTCTCTCTCTGCTGGGTTTCCTCCCTGGCAGTCTATTTCTCTTAGTTCATTTCAGCCACTTAGAAGCCAGTTAGTGGGTCTGAGGGGCTGGAGGACTCAACTACTTTATTAACAAAGTTTCTCATTTATTAAAAGGAGTCACTTTAGGCTCAGGAGCAATTTAAACTCAACTCGTTATACAGAAGTTCCTGCCATTGATTTCTTTAGGGGGCAGGGGAAAGGTCTTTCTTTTCTTTTTTTAGATAGGTAATTATATTTCTATTGATTGTGCCAAAAGTTATCAATAATCACTTCTACTTCTTGACATTTGCACCTCCTTCTATTTTCCATTTTCCTTTCTGTAATGCAAGCACTGCTAACTCTTGGTCTGGAGCCAGACCCTCCTGGAATGTGTTCTGTGGAACAGTGCCTTTTGTTTTGTTTTGGTTTTATTTATTTATTATTTATTTATTTATTTATTTATTTATTTATTTTTTAGTTTAACTTGAATGCTTTGAGGCATTTAGATTCTGCTTCAGCCACAGGCTACACAGACTCTGTCAGACTTACCTTATCTGCCTGGGCTGTAAAGAAGTTTTACCTTGAGACCTCTGCTTCAGAGTCTATACTCTGAACACTCAACCTCCTCCCCAAAGCTCATACCACCAGGACATGCCGAAGGGAAACAGAGTGTTTCTGTGTGCATGCTGCTCTGTAGAACAGGGACCTGCTTCCCATTTAGGGCTGATCTCAACGATTTAAAAAATGCTGGACTCAAGATCACATGGGCATTTTTCCTAGGTTCCTTAAAAGATGCATTGACGGTACCTGTTATTTCTCATTCCCTTTCGGTCTTTGGGGAATTACATTGAGAGTGTCAGATTTAAATGTGGGAATTGCCACTGTTTTATTCCGCCTCCCTGCACTTGGGACATTACTGCTTTTTCACTTCCAGCCTTTCTAGGAAGCATCCCCTGGCCCTCAGGGTGTGATAGAGGGCCCAGAGCTTTCCCAGGCTTCGCCAGCGATGGGTCTCCCGGGACGTAGAGTCCTCATTTGGAAGCCATTGTTCCGGTTCACAGATATTAGTGACAGCTTCCAGGGGACTATTAAGAGTCATTTGTGGTTCAGTAGCTGACATTTGGGAGCCGGAGCATATTCATGTGGCATTTCCACGGCACATTACGTATAGGCTGTAATTGGTTGGATCCCTTGTGCTGTTGGGTTTTAAAAATATAAGTAGTCCTAGAGGTTGAAGTTTACACAGGCACAATTTGAAGCTTTTAGATACTTTCCATCTGCCCTTTCATTTTGGTGTGCTCATGGGAAAATGACTTGAAGGCATGAAGCTCTAGAGTCGATTACAAATGACAGAGATTTATCTACGAGTAATCTACTGAATGTCTTGTATTCAGAGCTATAAAATATGAAGTGCAGAATACCAGATGAATTTATTTAATCACCCTCATACTGCATATAGATAGACTACGTTCATACAAATATCTTATTCTGTATTGTCATGCATTATTTTTTCACTCTTCTAACCATTTATTTTCCTGGAATAATGCTGGGCACAAGGATATTACACATTGATAAATAAACACCTTTTCTGCCTTCAGATATTTTTAGGTTAATTTTTAGATTTTAACTTAGGGAGAGGGATTCATTACAGTTATTTCACATAGAAAACTGGTTTAATTTGTTGATTTCCTAGACCTAGTAATTTAAAATTTTATCTTAAAACTACAATACTTTTCTTAAGGAGGAGCAATTAGTAAAAGACGCAATAATAAAGTGTCTTTGTTAACAGACAACTTAATGTGGTTTGAGCTTATGTGCTTAAAAATATATAGGAAGCCTGGTCGCTGTGGCTCAGTGGCTAAGCACTGATCCATGAATCAGGAGGTAAGGGTTTGATTCCCCATCAGGGCACATGCCTGGGTTGTGGGTTTGAACCCCAGAAGGGGGCATGCAGGAAGCAGCCAATTGATGATTCTCATCATTGATGTTTCTATCTTTATCCCCTTTTCCTTTCCTTTCTCTTGAAAAACAGTAAAAACATATTTAAAAACAAGCAGGAAATAACTGGGTTGAAGTTCACTTTATGCCAATGCCTCTTAAGTAAAAATGATATCTAGCTGATGGGATATTTTTAGTAGATTTCTTCTGTAAGCCTCAAAGTGGTTTTAAAAATGCTGGACTCAAGATCACATGGGTATTTTTTCTAGGTCTCTTAAAAGATACAGTTATGATACCTGTTATTAGAAGCATAGAGAACAATGGTGCTCAATGCAAATATGACAATATATAAACGGAAAGGGACTTTTTACATCATTGAAACCCCATATCACGTTAGTTTTGTCCACTGGTATGGAGAGTTCATATTTGGGACTTGGAAGACTGGCATATCTATATGAGTCATTGTTTTAATTACAGAGCCGTGGACCATGTCCAGTGCCTTCATTGGCACCTACAAATGTCTCACTTGCCTTTCTCATCATCGAGGTTACTTTCTCTTCACTTCACAAATTGTCAAGGTCAATTAATAAGCAATTGGCACAGGGAGGAACATAGAATGCCTCAGGCAGAGCAATAACAGGGGTTGCTCTGTTACACCATGCTTTGGAGCACAAGTGGCTCAAATGACTTGGAAACAAGGCGCCCTGTGTGTAAAGGACCCGAACATGGAGATGCTCCCTGCGTACCTGCATGTCTCTCTCCAGCTGCAGCAGGTGGTACCTGTGCCACGTGAGAAAGGCTGGCCCCTCATGGGAGAAGTCCACTTCGCCGAAGCTTTCCTGGTCTGGCCCAAGGAAAGTCTTTTTGACTGAGTAATAGTGTGTCCACACAAAGTAGTTGTAAATGGAAATGTTCTCGAACTGTGGTGTGTTGCCATCTGGCCCCAGGATCTCTTCTGTCCTCCTGGTGGCAATGACAAACAGGGGGTGAGTGGTGCGCTTCGCCATATCCAGGGCCCGGACATAGTAGTTCTTCTCTTCTGTGCTTAAATCCAGGAGGTTTCTCCTGACTAAAGGGATACAAAATGCAGACATGAAAACCTCTGCCTTGTGGGGATGGGTAGAGAATGAGCATAATAATCTAACACACCATGCTCTGTTTACCTGTAATGATAATTTGCATGCATGTTTAAAAATTTTTTTTTACTTTAAAAAAACCTCTTATTATATATCCCTCCTTCCCCATCTCTCTGCTCCTCTTGTTGTCTCTCCCTCAGTTGCTTTCTCCCCCATTCTCCAATTTAATATAGAATTTTGTGAGCTTTCTGTCATCTTACTTGTGGATTTTGATTGTGTTCTGTTTATTTCTGCTCTCTATTGACATTTTTCTACATTTTTAATTGTCATAAATCTTGCAAAAACAAGGGATGTGGTGTAGCATGGTGGTGAAGACCAGAGACTCATTCAATGACCACATATTTCTCTAAGCCCCAGTTTTCATCTACAAAGTGTATATAAAACACTAGAAGCCTAGTGCATGAATTAGTGCATGGGTGGGGTCCGGCCGGGGTTGGAGATGGGAGGTGGGGGAAAGGTCCGAGGATGGTTGGCCTGCCCTGCTCCCTGGTCAAACTCCAGGTCGAACTCCTGGTAGAGGGGACAATTTGCATATTAAGCTTTTATTACATAGGATAATATATCTGCAGAGTTGTACCTTTTAAAGGGTTTACACATAAAAAGCAGTTAGACCAGAGCCTGGCTCATAATTAAGACTCAATAAACTTTCTGTTCAACCCTTGGTATGGCATCCAGAAAACAATCGCATTTTGCTGGCTGCTACTATTTCATGCCTTGTTATTAATTGTTATTGCTATTTAGGCTGCTGGCTGGGCTCATCATCAAAAATGGCTAAACTTGCTCATCGCAGGGGAGAATTTACTGGGGGGTGAGCAAGTGGGGTAGAAGAGGCCCATGTATTAGAGGTGGACAACCTCAGCATGAAGTCCAGGTTTTCTGAGGGCCAGCTGTGGACACATTCCAGCATGGATGCGTCCTTTCGAGACCACTCCTATGCTAATTAACATAACTACCTTGAGGAGTTACTGAAAGCATAGTCATTAACCTCTAGCACAGTTCCCAGCAGATTGTGGTGGTTCAACACATGTTCTGGAAGGAAATATTAGTCAGATGACCTGAGCCCCAAGCTCATTCCTTTAAATTAAATACATTTCTTAATCTCTGTAAGCCTCTTTCCTCAACTGTGGAGAGAGGATTGAGCTGTATGATTTTCCCAGGTGTTCTTCCAGCTCCAGTGATTTGGGTCTCACACAGGACCGTCTAGCCATTCATACCCCCGCTTACCTGTGAGAACCTTCTGGTCACAAGCGGTTCCTCTCCATCCATGACGGCAAGTCCCACAGTTGTGCCCCCAGAAGTTGCCATTGCAGCGGCACGTCCTGTTGAAGAACCGTGTGGGCCAGCCCTCCCGGTCGTCTTGGCCATCATGCGGGTACTGGGGGCTGTGGGGCCGGGAGTCTGCAATCACGGCCTCACACCTGCCCCTCCCTGAGGAGGAGCCGCAGGGGTCAGTCCCGGGCCCGGACCCGGGGGCCAGGTCTGGGCAGCACACCCCACTCCTCAGAGCCTCCGTGGTGGCACACTCCCTTGGGAACTGAGCCCCGGCCTGCTGAGTGAACAGCAGGGCCAAGGAGATGTATCCTAGAGAGAGGAATTTGTGCACTCCCATTCTGCTGGAAGCCAGGCTCCTGTTCTGTGGCCCTTTGTGCAGAGACTGAGGCACATAGATAAAAATCAAGCTGAAAAGGAGAAAGCAACATGGAATTATACAAGGTTTCCCCTCCTCTCCCCCTTTGGCATGTTATAAATGGCATGAGCCCTTTCCAACCCACCTTCAAAATGCTTCTCACACCTGTCCCATGCCAATTCAAGTCAGAAAAAACAGTTATTTACCTTAAAAAATTTTTGACATGTATAATACCCACATAATTAAATCCCCAACCCTAGTCATTTAGTTTTCTTCCATCTTAATTTCTATTTATAAAAAATACTCATCCTGGATGCCATTTATCAAAAGCAGTCATTAGCAGGTCACCACCACTAATTACATCTAACCATGGGGGCTGCAAGAGGAATTGGGAGCAGGTTTCCAGCAAGTTAATTTTCATTATTTAAAATCCCCCCAGCCTAATGGAGGCCTGGCTGCAGTCCACCCACTCCCGTGGAGCTTCTCTCCAGTACCTCCGGCTCCTGAGGGGATTCTCTGCAGAAGCGCTCTCAGAGCTGAGTGTTTTATATTTGCCAGTCCCCTGATGTCAGAGCTGCTAATTGCATGTGGGTTTGTGCCTGATAACTAATCACAAATCTGCTCCCCCAGACTGGGAGGGGCCCGTGCTCTTCCGCACCCTTTACTAATCCTCTTTCACGTCAGTGAGTTTTCCTGCCCTTTAAGTAGTTGGTTAGCACATGATTCCCTCCCCACTGATTTCCTTGTGATGCTTTAAAGGCCAGAAGCACTCATTTGGAATACCACAAATTGGAGAGGCTAGAGAATGTCTATCTCCGTGGTAGAGTTTTTTATTTCTGACATATCTACCTTTACAGGATGAAATCAGAATACTGGCTCTTTCTTGGTGATACAAGGTTAGGCCAATGCTTGGCCCTGATGGTAACTTTTGATTGTGTTTGGTCTTGAAAACAGATGCTGCCATTCTTACCATTTCTAGAGAGAATAATCGTTTTAGAAAAGGCATGAAATTGCCCAGCTGGCATGGCTCAGTGATTGAGCATCGAAATATGAATCAGGAGGTTATAGTTCCATTCCTGGTCAGGGCACATGCAGGCTTAATCCTTATTGTGGGGAGTGCAGAAGGCAGCCTATCGATGATTCTCTCTCATCATTGATTTTCTAATCTCATTTTCTCCCTCTCCTTTCCTATTAGAAATTTAAAAGAAAATATATATAAAATAAAAGCATCAAATACAATTACACCAAGTCACATGCTGTCGATGCTCCTGGTGCCTGCTGGTGTTGACCTTGGGTAGCCTTCACCTGTATTGGGGTGTGTCCATCTCTTTATCAAAGTAACACAGGTTCACTGTGTTTCTGTGGTTTAGAAGTTGACCACTAACCAGCTTCTTTCCTACTTTCTGTTCAAGGATTAAGCCAATGGCACTAATTTAAAATTATTTAAATGCCTTTGCAAATTTTAATGGCCTTATACCATCAGTAACCATTATCTTAAGGTTTCATATTCATTCAGGGCAAAATTAAGTGTAAAACATAATGCATATAAAATAATATTTATATAGTCTTTTTAAATGTTTTATTTTATTTTATTTTTCAGTTCAACTCCTTGCTGGATTGAAGTAGATTATCATTTTTTTTTCTTTCTGGACCCTAAAGGATCTGTGCACTTCTAGGAGATTATGGGAACACCACCTTGGGTATCACTACCAAGAGCGATCTTATTTGGCCACATGGAATTCATCCATGAGCTGGTGAATCCGGTTGATAACAAATAACAATCTTTCCCTAGAGGATCTGACTTAAATTCTAACTTCTTATTTACTAAGTCCACTTAGATGTCTAATTGGCCACACATTTATAAAACATGTTCCTCAGTCTTTCCCATCTCAGTGAATAAAATTACTGTTTATCCCATTGCTTGGCGGAGGGGGGCGGAGGGGAGGGATACCTGCAAAAGCCACTGCTTCTTTCTCTTTGTTTCATACAAACTGTGTTCATCATTTGATCTAACAGCCTAACTTTGAGCTGTCATTATCTCTCACCTGACCTATGACAATAACCTAGTGTATCTCCTCACTTTCCATGCTTAACCACACAGGAGTTTAGTCTCCACATAAGATTTTATTCTCCATTCGGCAGCCTGAGAGAGCTTTTTATTGCTGATACCTGATTGCCAATGCTCTCAACAAAACCCTTCAATGGCCTCTAAACTCACTTAGAATAAACCCAAGTGCTTATAGAAGCCTATGTGATCGGGCCCCTCCTATGTCTGATGTCCTCCTACCATCTTCCCACTGGCCCCCCTCCCCTCCCTCCTTGTTCTTTGTTTAAGAGCAAGTTTGTTACGGCCTCTGTGCCTTCTATCTACTGCTCCCTCGGCCATCTCCCAGGTCTTTCATGCTTACTCTGTCACTGCATTCAGTTCTCTGTTCCACTGTTACCTCTTCAGAGAGGCCTTGCCTAAGTGCCCCACCTGAAGGAGACCTCTCTGTCCTCAATACCATCATTCATCACTTGCTTCTTAGGACTTAGTCTTTTTCATAATACTAAGCACTACCTGAAATTTTTATTACTTATTCATTTTTCACTTACAGTTTCTCACTTATCAGAAGATAACCTTTTGTCCTTCTTTTTCAGTATTGACCTAAGCACTCTTAGAGAGACACATAGCCATGTTTAAACATGAGCGAGGAGTAGACATTTGATGTATTATATTTACTTCCAATCTAATGGTAGCCAGTGCTCTCGCTGAAAGGAATGTATTTTCATTAGCTACTGTGAATGTAGGGATTGTATGTACATTACCTCTCATTCTTTCAAAATGTTATTAAAATACTACTTTTATTCTTGTTTTACAAATGAGCAAATGGAAGGTTACGGAGTTTAAGGCTTTTTAAAATTATGCAATTGTGATTAGAAATCTCAGGTTTTGAAGCCAACTTAGTTTGGCTCCAAAATGTTTGTAGTTTGTAAGTACTGCTCACATTTTAAAAGAGGAAGGCTGGGAAATGGACAGCTATATTTCAAGTCATAAAATAGACCAGCTCTGAATGAGCAACTGTCTTTGTTTCCCTGAGTCTCAGCTCCGATCTGTTAACTGTGTGTGATAAGTCTATATTGTTGAAGCAGATAAGCTCAGACAAAAATAATCAGTGGATTGCAGATAATCAATACTAATTTAACAAATGAATCAAAGGTAGAAATTTTGAAATAGATGAACAATAATAAAGTTAATACCATATTTATAACTACCTTACAATACTCAAATGTATTTTTCACATAGCCCTCATTATTGACAAATGTCAAATCGATGTTACAAATAGTCCTGTGAAATAAGAGTGTCAAACATTGAAGAGAGAGGAAAGCTGAAACAACATTCTCTAATAATTGTGAAAACCTGGAAGTAGACCCCACACTAGTGTATTCCACACACATACACTGACATTATTCCTCATCTTACTGGTGTTTTCCAATGCAAGAGGCTGGAGCAAAGTGTAAAAAGAAGAAAATGCACTGTGTCTTTCTATTTTGCCTGGATATTGTGAAATGTGCAGTGTCAGGATCCTTCTGAATTATTCACAGCATAGGTCAGAAATTAATGTCAGACTACATGTGTAACACTCCTCAGTCCACTGCAAAAATTATTTCTAAGATTTCTTTGGTGGAAATTAATTTTTGTACAGTAATTTTGCATTATAAATGGGCTAAGTCTGAAACTTTATCTATATGTACCTGTCTAACAATACATGCATTAGTAAAAAAATGAATAATTAGTTATTATTACAAGTTAAATAATAGCAAATGCTCAATGACCTTTAGGTAAATGATACTGCTGAATTCCATAAACTGTGTCTTAGTGCTAAAACATTATTAAACCAAAGAAATAGCTTTGAAGACCTAGGGAGCTATGCACAGAAGGAGTACTCAGAATTATACTATAAACACCATTTGTGTGCGTGTCAGACATTCATTGCTGATGTGAATTAAGTTCATATCTCAGGCAAAGGGACTGATCCTCTCTCCCTATATTTTCCTTTGAAGTCTCATGATTGTCATTTATAAAAAAAAGTTAGGAAAAAAACTAATGATAAAGGACCAGGAATTTAGGTTAAGTTGAGGAGAAACTTTTCAGGGATACCCTTCTGTTTCTAGAAAAAGTATTAATGAATATTAATATCTTTAGTAATATGTGTGGCAAATGATAGTGACTATATTCATTGCCCTTTGGATTACAAGTTGTTCAATTACATGCTTAGTTGTTCTCAGCTTAGATTAATGGTTAGAATTCCAAAGGCATTAAGACAACTCAGAGTCATCTGTTAGGCCAGTCATGTGTTCATACCTCATGGAGGAGCTTATTTTCAGTGGGAGCAAAGGGAAGAATGTCAGGTCTGTGTTTTTGTGTCAAAGAGCAGAGGCTCAGTCAAACATACCATTGCTATTTCTGGGTGGAATATTTAAAGTTGAGGTCTCAGAGAATGTGCTCTCCCATAAAATGTTCCATTGATTTCCTTATTGCATTCTTGAAACTCTAATGTATTGCAAAATATTGGTACAGGGCCAGTTAACAATATTTGATTTCTGTTTATTGAAATCTTCTCTTGAGAAGGTAATATTAGAGCATTTAAAGTATTTCTGTTTCATTTTGTTTTTAATCCTCACTGGAAGAGTGAGGATATTTTTTCCATTGATTTTTTAGCAGGGGTCCTCAAACTTTTTAAAGTGGGGGCCAGATCACGGTCCCTCAGAGAGCTGGAGGGCCGGACTATATGAACTACTAATTCCTACTGTAACACCTCGGCTGCGCTCACTGCCCAAAAAACCTGGCGGGCCGGATCAGACTTCTCTGCGGGCTGCATGTGGCCCGCAGGCCGTAGTTTGAAGATGCCTGTTAGAAAGTGGAAGCCAGCAGAAAGGGGATAGGAGAGAGAAGTATTTATATGAGAGAGACACATGGATTGGTCCCACACACACCCTGAATGGGATGGGGATTGAATCTGCAACCCAGGTGCAGGTGCCCTTGACCTGGAATCAAACCTGCAACTCTCTGCTGCTCAGGCTGATGCTCTAACCACTTAACTCACCAGTCAGGGCTAAAGTATTTATTTTGTTGATGATTTATATTCTGCTTGTTTTAACAAATGACCTTGTAAGATTTCCCTGAAACTGCTAACTACATGTGTGTTAGGCATCAAAGTAAAATAATCAAAGATACTTGCATGTAGAGTGCAATTATCCACTCTAAATACATGTATCTTTGAATATTGTTGTGTAGTTAAAGTTATTGTGTCCATTTCCAAAGGTTGTGTCTGAACTATAACACTGATAAAAAAATAGTTTCCATTATTTTGGTATTTTTAAATTTCTCTCTGTGGTCATC